CTAATCACTAACTAAAACATGCATTAAATAAAATCAGATTAGGGCATAGCTAGCCACTTAGACTGTGCTGTGCATCGAGGAACAGAGCAGAAGACACCTCTCTGGGTACAAAACCTCATGGTCTTTTCCTCAGATCTGGCTGGGTAACAGAATCAGAAGTCTGAAAACTTCCCTTTCCTATGTTTAAAGAGTTCCTTTAACTCTTTCATGGTTGTTTTTTGTTTGGTTTTTTGTTTGTTTGTTTGGGGTTTTTTTGTTTGTTTGTTTGTTTGTTTTTGGTTTTGGGGGGGTATTTTTTTTTTTTTTTTGTAAAATTAGCAAGCACTATAAGTTTTTGATACATATATATCTGTAGGGTTTCCTGTAAATGGACTATGTGTCAGGTGTTAACTAGATTGATCCAGTCGCAGACCTGTAAGGCATCAACGTGGCCATAGTCCATGCAGGCATTTAAAACTTGAGTCTACCAAGACTTGGTAAATCTAGTTTGAAGTGTGTCACAGGACTGTGCATTTTTTAAATTCAGTCATTTGATGTAAAATAATTTCAGTAGAAATGCTGAGGTCAGAAGGAGCCATTTGTATAATGGGAAAAAAAAGAGCAAAAAGCTCAAATCAAAGTGAAACAAAGAATGTGACACATTTCTCAAGCTGAGTGTCTGAACTTAGAGGACAGTGACCGACCATTACTGATATGATGCTCCCATCATTGTGCAGTCCTGTTCAAATACAAAGGTTTGTAATGCTCCAGTTTTCCAAACTGTGAGTAATCATAACTAGATGCTCTAAGGAATTGCACCAAGCAAAATCAAACTGCCATAAAGTTCACGTGTGGCACTAATTGCAATTTAACTGCCTGGTTATTACAAGAGCTTTTAATTAACTCAGTCATCATACTGTGGCATACAAATTGTGCGTAATAGCAGCATGCTAACTATAATGACAATAGATTTGTGTGAACTGTGAAAATCAGGACTTTTATAATTTTTTGAGGTTTCTTTTTATTCCCTTAAATATTGTGTGTTATTTAAGAGCATTTCAAAAAGGGGGAAAAAAAAGAAAGAAAAAATCCTAGCAAGTTGCTGAGGCTTGCCTGTTTTAAAATTTTGTGGAAGTCTTTAATTCTTCCTGAAATTCAGTGAGAGGTGTCTCACTGAATTATTTTTCTGATCATTTTTTTAGTTTCACTTTTCTATTTTTCATCCCCTTTGAGGGTCATTTTACACACTCTTTTGTTTTTGAAACCAAGAAAATTCTCAGTTTGTGGAAACACTCAGAGGAAATCCCATTCCAGTGAAACTGGAAGATAACTAGAATACATTCTGATCAGATGTTGCTGCAAAATGGTAATTTATTAGTTCAGTAGGGCAGTGAGAGCATTGCTCTTCTCTCAAAGTTATGATTCCAGTCTCTCAAGACTGGCAATAACAGCACTGAATTATTTCTCAATTGGAAATTAATTTTGCAGTCCAAAGACTAAAAATTAAGAAACAATGAGGCTAATGGATGTAGTTGTAATCCTTCAGAAAACACAAGAAATACAACTAGGTGATGTTACGCTTACCGCATGTACTTTTTCCTGTAAAAAATAAAATACTTCTTCCTTTAAAAAATAAATACAAAGCAGACATTATTATGGAAGCTGTATTTATCTGGTCTTTAGACTGTCATCAGCCCTGTACTAGGAAACTAAATTCTGTCATATTTGAGTTTTAAATTATTTGGCTCACAGACAGAACAGGCACCTGAAGGCAAGACAAGAGTACATGGTATTTTCATATGCTCAAGTTTACTGCAGAAACCAGGTGCTAATGAAGACTGGGATACTGAGGGAGGCAAAAGTAAATTTGTCATGCACATAAAGTTAATGACATAAAAGTGACAGGCACTACTGAACAGTTTAAAGTCTCGAAGCTGGGTTCAGCTGGGTGAGCAATATGAGCATGGTGTGCCAAACACAGAAAGAGAATCAACACCACACAAAGCCAATGGTCCCAGAGGTTTAAATAACACAGATATGAGAAAGGTAACAGAGATGCTGACATCACCATTGTAAATGCTGATGTAGCTCATCCTTTAGAAACTGTGTCTGAATAAGTAAGTGACTGCTAAAGAGTGAATTTTGTCCTTGTGCTCTCATTAACAGAGTTCTCAGCAGTTTGATTACTGTCATGCATATCTTTGTGAGAATGGCAGTGGTGCTGTGCAAATGCTTTTTATTAGAATTTTCAGAATTTTCCAAGACTGGGAAAAAAATCAGTTCTTAAAAAGACATTTCAGATAATTACTGGGTTTTAATATTATTTCTATATATAAAGTTTACCCAAGATTAGTTTTTAAGATTTTTTATTGAAAGGTTTGTATTTACACGTATCAGTGAATGCAAATTTCCTACTTTTGCAAAAGCATTTCCTGAGACATTGACTCAAAGAGAACAGAGAAAGCCTGTAAAACAATATCTTGAAACAACTGTTTATGCAAAGCACATATAAAACAAGCATCATCCATATTCCAAGGCATTATGACTGTAAAAATTATTGATTTTCTTTTTTGGTTCATATTAGTTAGAGCAAAATATAATGAGACTTTATTGTAAATTCAAGAAACATACAGCTGTGGATTCTCTTGTTTTCCTAGTGAAGGTGAATGTACATGAGGATTGTTTTCAGTTTACTATAGATGGAGCCAGTTTCTTTCTTTCTTTTTTTTTTTTTCCCTTGTCCTAGAGGACTGGTACTCATCTGCTCAGGGACTTCATTAGCCAGCCAGCCATCTCCACCCTGTTTCTCCTCTCCCCACAGGCTCTCACCCTGCAGTCAGGCTCTGCGAGTGCTTGGACAGCAAAGGGGCCTTGTTCAGGTGTGCAGGACACCTGGGCCCTACAACACCCTACACACCTGACCCAGGCCAGTCATGAGACAGAGCCTACTTCCCAAACATCTGGATCTGACTCTCACTCTCTTTTAAACCTTTATTCTTATTTTTGGTAAGACAAAGAGTAACTGAAGGGTATATGAGAAGCTGGAACTGAGGCAACTCGAACAATCAGTTGCTTTGTCATAAAAGCTGATCATAAGCATCATGCTCCCTATGTCACATCAGTGAGCATAAAAGAATATGTTAAAAGTGAGACAAGTAAAATTACGGAAACATTTTGTGTCTCTAGTATATCTCCATTATATTGGCATGGAGTGGCTGATGGGATAAGCTGCTGCAGAGACTGGCGCTGAAGAAGCAAACTTGCATAAGGATGCATGAAGCATTGAAAAAGTGTAGAGACTTACAAGGAGGGAAAATGGGGAATCCAGTTAAGCTGGTGGGATATGCTTTAATGTGTGCTGAAGAAGAAGTCATGGGGGGAAATAGTGTGAGGGAGGTTTGAAACTGAATTTGAGGACAAGAAGGAATGTAGTAAGATGCTGTCCAAAGAGACACTGGCTCTAAGAAGAAACAGTGAAATGAATGCCTCAAGTGATGTTCAAAGTGTAATCCCTCAAAGGACATTAGTCATATGTCCAGAGATAATTGTCTTGCAGGTAGATTCATGCATATCATTTGAAGGGGGTCTGAACTATAACTTGGCTGCCTGAGTTGTGACCTGTGAACCACAGCCTAAAAGGACCACTCTCTTTCAACTTTACCTTCAATTTCAAATCATAAGGTGAACACTTGTTCTTATGTAGTAATAGTGCTGATTCTTCTTTTCACTGGCCTAAGCAAGTGTGTTCAATGAGTCTTGCATTATCATGATATACAACAGGCATGACAACAAACTCGTTAAAGTTAGATGTGTTTATTCTATTTCAAATTTTAAATGTATTTCTTAACTAGCTCTACAGGAGTTCTTAGTTGGAAAGATGGTCCCTAAAATTTGCACTCTATTTAATGCATGATGATAACTTGAAAATGAGATTTATTTGCTGTCTCTGTTCTTACATGTGGGGATATAAAATGCAATAGGAAACAATAATCCTTGTTGTGTAGCATATGCACTCCTTCCTTCACATGGCAGCATTTTGATTATGTTTCTGCTTCAAAATTGGGTGCCTGCCTTAAAGATCACATTGATCTCCTCTCTCTCTTCTTTCTCTAAAAGTTGACTACCTATTGACTACCAAGTTTTCATAAATCACATACAGCATTACTTTTTCACCAGTGCTAGCTTACACAAGTGCATGCTGTTCAGTCTGTGTAATATGTCTTGTCAGATGTGATTATAAGCATAACTATCTGTTACTTAATAAATATATGTATATTCCTAATTATTTTTATTCAATGACTAGGAAGAGTAATGAGCTATGAATGTGAATTTTTGTCCTATGTCATAGAAAATGCTCAGTATCACATTTTACAAAGAAGAAAATGAGACTTCATGTGAATTTTTATCTATTGACATCTAGATCAGAAAGACAGACATAAAATTCTTTGATATTTTCAACATCTGTGGTCCAATATCATTAAACTTACATCTTAGGTCATTACCTTAATGTCTTTCAATGTTGTAATGCAAGTTTCCACCATGCTAGCAGTTCACTATTTCTTTGTGTAACTGGGCTGAACATGCCATAATAATTCATCAACCCTGAAAGAAGGCACAAAGTTCAATGTATATTAAAAATGTGATTGAGATACATTACAGAAAAAATGGAAATATGCTGCTGTTCACAACACATCATATTCTCTGAGGTTACTGATACTGTCTGCATAAAAATACACTTCCTTATGGGAAAAAAAGCCACAATCAATAAAATACATGGTGACTTTCCTATAGACTTGGTTTCCCTTAAAAAAGAATGCTTTTACTATTTTTTTCCACTATAAAATTACTAATTATCTGTTTGCTTCATTCATTATGTATTACACAGTATGATAATTAATTATGCTTTTCATGTCTTAGTCTTTCACTCTTGTTAAAATGTAGTGAAACTGAATTAAGCAATAGATAACAATTGTTTCTTATGTGTGTTCTTTCCTTCTTCTTGTGGCTTTTTTTCCTTTTAGGTGAATAAAATATGTGGTCCTCCTGTAAGAAAGCCTAAACACTCTCCAGGTTGCTCCTTTGATCAGAACAAAGATAATCAAGGGCTGAAGATGTTCTCCAGACTCAGTGAAGAAACACTCGCCAGCAGAAGAAAGTAAGGCATTAGTTTTACAGCCAGAAAGAAAGACTAAAGTAAGCCATTAATTTTACAACAGACTAGATTACACTCAATGCCATGGCATGCACTACTGGAGAATAAAGTCTCCATAGAATGAAACATTTTAGCAACACAGTCTGTTACATTTTGGAAAGGGTAATTTCATGACCAGATTTGTTTTCAGAAGTAATGGGCATATGACCACAGTAATTTGGTGTGGTTTAAAGTATTTTGGAGGGTATCTAACATTGATAGAATATGAGTGTTAGCTCTATGTGTAATTTTCAAAATTACATTTAAATTTACATATCAGCAGACGTTATTAAATCTGACAAAAAGTGACTGTAGCTTTTTACAGAAAACTGTTTGTACAAGCTGATAAGACATAAAAAATGAATGACTTTTCTTACATACCTTTCTGCTGTAAAAAGAAAAAAAGAAAGACAAGCATTTGGAACTAAATCTTGAAAGCCTTGTTCAAACAAGACCTGCTGATTTTTTTCTCTGACTTTTTTGCTGGCATATAGTGAATTGAAGTGATTGAAGAGGCTTGGAAATTTCACTGAAACCTGGCTCAGCATTACAGGGTAACTTTGTGTAACTGTATGAGTCAGGTGTTTGAGCTGCCATTACAGTCTGTGGAAAGGAGAAGTCATTTTAGCTGCCCATGTCTGCAAGCATCCAGTGCCACTCAAAGATGCCCTGGGGTATCCCAGCTGATCTTCTCCTGCTGAGAAGGAAGCAGGTGAAACCATGAGTTGTATCATAGAGGTCAAGCCTGACAGAGTTGGAGAAGCATTTGGAACATACTCTCAGGCACATGGAGAGATTCTTGGGGATGGTCCTGTGCAGGGCTGAGAGTTGGACTCAAAGATCCTTGTGAATCCCTTCCATATCAGCAGATTCTGTGATGGCTTCCAGCTTTCTGCAGATATCTCTTAGGTAGCTGAAGGAATCTCAAAGGCCAATCTATATTTAGACAAGTTAATCAGGTTTTTAATGACCATAAGTAGTAATAGCACTGTAAGACATTGAGTGTTGCAGTTAAGATTAAAGGCTCCATTATGCAAATGAAGTACAAAGTTAAAATCAGAAATTTCATTTCGGTCATAGCATTTGCTAAAATGCAGAGAAGTTTTCTTTGTCCTCTTTTTCCTCTCATTTCACTTTGTAGTGCAGACGGAAACAGAAGTGAGAGAATTGCAGGCAATAATTTCTCACTCCTGATGTCTAGAGAAGAAAAAGTGCCTCTGAGCTTCAAAGGCAAACCATGCTTCTCAGTGTAAGGAGCTTCAGTTACTAAATAATGGAGGAAAAAATCCAATCCAAAATATAAATACAGGGTTTTGTAACATCGTGATAAGAGAAAGATATGCAAAATAGAAGTTTGCTTTAGCCAGCACAGAAGATTTTCAGGGAATACCCATTACATGGGTGCATGTTTCTCAGTTACATGTAGCTAAACAAGTTCTTGATGTTTTGTGATTGCTAACACTCTGCAAACACAATAATATATTCTAAAATCTCACCTAATCTCCCAGGACCGTTCCATGTTTCAAAGCACAGAACACTGGATTGACTTTTGGCAGATTGCCTGAGACCTTGAGGAGCCTGAGAGGCAGTAGGCAACACAAAGCAACAGTGTTTTCCCTTCCCTTCCCTTCCCTTCCCTTCCCTTCCCTTCCCTCCCCTCTCATCTGCCTGAGATTCTGGAGACACTTCATGGGATGCAAACTCTGCACCACAGAGGGGAAGGGAAAGAAAGTTTGAAATCCACTGGTGCAGATTTCAGTTTAACAACTTCCTATCTGATCTCATCTGCAGTTGCTACCTCCTGCATCACCTCCTTTCTTATTAGTCGCAATCACTTTACATTTCACTTTATATTCCCATAGCAACTGTAAGAACCTCACTGGATTGTGACTTTAGCAAGTGCTTGCAGCCTGCTCTTAAGGAAATGCTCTTCTCTGACTCCACCTTTTTTTACCTCCTTGGTACTTCTGTTTCCCAAATGCATGTCCAAATGAAAGTTTGCATTTTAAAGTACATGTTGGGCTGCTGCTACCTGAACTTCTCCTGAATTGTTTTTACCATTGAACCTAAGCTGCTATTTTCTGGTACTGTTTGCTAAAAGAAGAAAAAGAAATTTTTCCATTCTTTTGATGCCAAAAAATGATTAGATGAATTTTAAAAAAATCTAAGCAAACCCTTCGGTAGCAACGTACAAACTTTAAAGTATGTAATGCTTTTTTTCTCCAGAGCTTCATACTGCAGACAGCTTCTAGTACAGAGGATGAAATTGTAAAATAAATAAAAAAATAAAAGAACATTTCTGAATAAACAGATAAAAAGTATCTTCAGCTTCCACTGACTGTAATTGCACATTTGTGCTCAGCTGCCTATAATTACATGCTATCTGGTCTAGAGGATGATCATGTGAAAATTGACATTCAAACCATTTGCCCTTCTAACTACTTTGGTCAGACATCAACAGGGGCTGAAATCAGCTATTACTTCTCTATTAAATTTAGCTTTGCCTCAGGGTGTATTTACTAATAAACTGAATGACCTTTCTGTTAGAATGCAGTTTGTGACAAGATATTATGACAGCTATATTTATTTATTTTTATTTCTTCTTCGGAAGAAATTCCAACTGTTCACTTAGAGAGCACTCAACACTATTTTTCACCCAGAATGTAAACATAAAGCATAGACAGAATCAAAATCAATTCACTCAATGGCATTTGGAGGGAAATTGCAAACCCTCTGTGCACACTGGATTCAATTTTGGGTGTGGAGAAATAAAAGATATGACTATTCATGGCTAGGAGATTGTGGATGAATCATATTTAAAACCTAATGCACGTAGGCAATTATATGATGCGTAGTCAAAATTGACCCTACATGAGATTTTTTAGAACTGCAGTTTTAGAATTAGTAGGGCACTCTCATCGCATTTAATAGATGTATAAATCAAAACCACTGTAGTTTGTGTAAAATATTTGCCCTATTACATGAAATAACTTATGGCTTTTTAAATCATGGACTGTATAAATCACTGGTGTTTTATCTGTTTTAAATTGAAGTAAACAATACTGAACAATTAAATTACCTATAACATTTTAGTCCTATGGTGAATAAATATAGGGAAATATATATACTATTTCTGGCATTTTTTCACAACTACAGACATGTAAAAGAAATTAACATAAAGTAGGTTGCAGAGCAATGATTTCAGCATTTGGTGGGGCTTTTCTGTGTGCCTGCAGGTCATAGATAACTCAGTAATGTGTCATGTTCCATTCCACCATGAATAAGTATTTTAATTTTTCCCAGTAGGAAAGGGTCTCCCAGGAAGAGATTTTCAATACATAAACAAACAATTTATATTAAATATCAAAATTCTGTTAAGAACATGCCAACTAAAACATAATTAATTTGTTTTGAATTAAGTACAAAACTTTATCATTACCTCTGGGCATCTTGAAAATTATTTAAAATAGCAATACATAATTTATAACCTGCCAGCACAGCACATGGTAAGACTGATACAATCCTTCAGACAGTTATTTAAATCTTTACTAAATACTTAACTCCTACATCTTAAGCCCATTTTACTCAAGTCGAGTTGCTGCATAACTTTAAAAAATATGTTTTTTAGTATTTGTGAAGATATGTAGGGGACTTCTTGTCAGCACTTTTGAAAAACAGAAGAGTTATTCATATGCACCTATTTTTTTATTTGCTATGGGGTTTTTTTTTTGGGTTTTTTTTTTTTTAGAGCATTTTTTGTCTATTTATCCAACTATAGCATTGCAAACTGTATCACTACAATGCAAGAAAATTCTAGGTTAAAAGAAAATAGTTCCTATTCTAAAGCATATTTAAAGTAGATTTTTTTATTTTTTTTTTTTATTTGACCAGTGAGACTACCAACTTTGTAGACTAATGAAGCGCATCTAAAAGAATCAAACTTATCTATTCATAGATCGATTTAAAATATCACTGGGACCAATGGAGAGGAATGGAATAAACACATTCCTTATCTTTTGGAAATGCACAACAGCGAGATGGTTTAATGTTGCCGGTTGGCACTGACAATAATTCCCCGTGTTCCCGCGTGCAGGGAATTCATCGGGCACCTCCGTCCGTACCGAGCCTTTTACGGCGGCCTGGCGGATCGGCTGTGCGGGAATGAGCTGGCAGCTGCCGACGGAGCCCCGTGTTGGAACGGAGAAGATGTCCTTAGAAGGTAGCTGTTCTGGCTCACCTGTGTCTGTTTTCTGTTGTAAGTCATGTTTCGCTAAAACGGCTTCTGTTCGAGTCAGGTGTGGTGTTTTCCCTGTGTCTGTGTCAGGATTAGTTTGAAAAATAAATGAGCTTGGGTTCCCTTCTCTCAGGCTTCACCTGTGAGCAGTAAATAAAATTTCCCTGCATCTCTGTTTAAGAAAAAGAAAAAAATAATTCCAATGTTCTTCAGACATTTTTTGTCCAAATTTACTGCACCTAAACATACATTGGAAAAGAAGCTGGATTGGCATTTACAAAATACAGTTGGACAAAAAGAATATGGATTTTTGTTTGAGCTTGGTCTTTATAAAATGCTCCTTTTAATGCAATGTGTGGTAACAGACTCCAGCTTAAAACCTTCTCTGGCTGTGGAGTATGAAGTAATCTCTTAATATGTATGGTTTCCCTTGAGAGAACTAAAAGTTAAATGGGAAGATAAAACATCTTAAAAGTGAAACATGTTTTTTCTTTATATATGCAGCAGCTTGGGAGACATCATTCAGCAGCAGCAGCAAAGAAGATATAATAAACTGAAACAGTCTAGATGTGTGTCTCTGAAATCAATATATTACACAGCTTATAAAACACTAGAATTTTGGGATGGCAGAAAGATTTTCAGAGAGCTGATCTCTGTGGTTTTGCTTTATTGCTTTGATCACCAAAACCAGTGTTTCTCTGAGCAGGAAATCCTTCCCTTCCGGGTGACAGAGACCAAGATGTTGAAAAGTTCATTGCAGTTATTTGTAATAGAAATCATGATGTTAATGTGATGTGTATTAGTAGGCAGTATCAAAGGTAATATCAAATAAGGCTGTGAGGAGAGTTAGTGAAGTGTGAGATCACAAAGAGGGAGACCAGTGGACAATATGCACCTTTAGGTATCTCTAAAAAGTTAGGTAGGATCTGTCATTTATTGATTAATACCTAAGGAAACTTAATGGAAATCCTTGTAGCAAACAGCTACAGGCCACATTTTTTTAACTTCTTGGGCAGTCCCCTCTTTTGGCAGCACCAAGGTCCAGTAAGTGTTTGACTCCTTTGACAGTCTCACTGGCAACCTTTGTTCAAGGATTTCAACAATCTTCTGAAGATGCTGTGTTTCTTCTTTAGGTAACTGTATTTGAGATTTAATCTCAACTGTGCCTCCTTGCTTTTGTTTTTCTGACCATTCCCCAGTTCACTTAAAATATCCCTACCAAATACTTCAGTAACAATATAAAGTGAGGGTCTTGTAATTACAGATTTCCTAAGAACAAGGCTGTCATTACTTTTGGCTGCTTATATACTTACTGTTAATATATAAGATATTTTCAAGCCTTTATATTATATGGTTCTAATATATATATTATTTTGTTATATGATTATACTTTGTTTATACTATTATACTGTACTGTTGGATTTTGATTGATTAGACACTAAGATAAAGAAATCAAACATTCTCTAAATTTGTAAAATTCATTGTGTTTTTAAAAGTAATCTAATATATATGCTAATACACACACACACACGCATGTATATATATATATATATATATGCTATATATATGCTTTTATGTATGCTTATATAAATATATATATGCATACAATATACTTATTATTGGATCTACCCAAAGATATAATGGGTGACAAAAGCACTGTATCTTAAAAGTAAGTAATAACACTTTGGTATTACTTTTTAACTTAAAATTTCCTTAACTAAAATATTTTGATTTTGTATCTATATCAATGTATATATATATATATTTATATTTTTGGTCAGTAAATGTCAGTATCAGCTTCCTGAAGGAGCTGAGATGTAGATAATAGAAGTACAGAATGATTATTAAAACCAGAAGAGCAGGAAACTCTGAATTGCTTTAGATTATCAAATGGAGCTGAGACATGCCAATTAGTTCCTACATCTCAAGACCTCTGATGGTGCACTAAATACATTGTGGTACATGATCTCCCGTTTCAGTATCTTTATGAAGGCACTCAGATCTGTCCTATTCCACCTCTTCATTTTGCCTTCTTATTCAGTCAAAATGCCCTTTGTTCAGTTTTATTTGTTTATATTTGTTTCTTTGTAACTGAAGGGGAAAAGCTGTCCTGCACTTTGACCAAGATAAGGGTTTTTGTACTGTTAGTATTATTATTACAGAAGTGATGACCTCGGGACAATGGTCTATATCTGCTTTTATAATGGCTGGGATGCATAGCAAACATTTAAAATATATTCTGCTTAAACATGAGCACGAGTTTTCTAGTGACAAGGACAAAAATAAGTAGTTTTGTTGTCCAGCATCTGCATAAAAGAAGGATTTTTAAGAATAGGCAAGGCAGGCACTGAGAAATGATGTAGCAAAAGCTGATTTTTCTTAGAGATCTGGAGATAAATTGGATAACTTCTTAAAATCTCCTCTAGCTCTATGATTCTGAATCTAGGATTATCTAAATCCTATGTTGCTCAACTTCTATTGTCATGATCCCAGGATAGTATGACATTTTAGAAGCAATAATGACTGAGCAGGCATCATTGCTTTTCTCTCTACTGAAGCGCCTGTACACTCACTCTCTTTACTGTTTTTTTTCTTCCCACTGGTATAATAATAAATAACAATATTGATGAACTCATCAGTACATCTCACCAGTGTTTCTGGCAGTGATGGGAAAAAGTCCACATTGTTCAAATTAGTTAAAGACAAATAGATTTTATCTGTTTTGAGATTCTTCATTCTTCCCATCTGCTTTTGCCTTCTGTTTCAAAAACATGTGCCATAGCTAGCTGCTGATGACTGAAATTTGGGCTTGACATGAGAAAACAATATAATGAACTATGTATTGCTGGTGTATCAGGACCTGAGGAGATTGCTTAGACTGCTTGCTGTATCTGTGTTTCAAGCTGCAAGTAGCAAAAAGCCCTGGAGACTGAAGACAGATGAATGGGGGAAAAAAAAGCTTTGCAATTCTTAATTTTCCTTTTTCGTGCATCTTTCTAAAGGAAACATTTCAAGGGTATTAACATTCACAATATTGGATATCAGTTAAATCTTATAACCTTTGCCTTCTCTAATGCTATCCAAGAGATTATCAAGCCTGGATGGGAAAAGGTCATAAAATGAAAAAGGGGTATTATTGAAATGAAAGCTTACTTAACAGTTTACATTTCATATGTTTCAGCTGTTCCATTTTTGTTTGGTTTAAGCCTTTTTTATTTTCTTTTCCCTTCAAATCACAATGCCACGGAAATACGGCCCTTGATTCTGCAATTCTGTAAATTGTTCTGGATCTAGAATTTCCCACCATACAGGCTCACGCTTTCATCAAAGCCTCAGACCAGAATTCCCACGTTCCTGCATTCATGCCTGACAGGATCAGCAGTGGCCAGGACCTGCAGGAGCAAGACCACTCTCATGAGGCATGAGGTCTGTGTCACTGCAGCATGAGGGACAAGACATCTCAGAGGAGTCTTCAGCCCCTCCAGACTTACCCAACTGTGTGACTGCAGTGGTTCTAGCATGAAATTGGAATTCAAACTTAACTTTCAAAGCCACAGCCGAGTGTTGTGATGAAGTACCTGGAATTTAGTGTTACAGGATTCATCAAGTTCAATGGAAAAAGAGGAACTGAAATTAAAAAGTTATGCACTTTTACCAAAGCATATGAGTTTGGACTTTCAGTGGCATCTTAGCATTAAAGCTAAAATAATGGCAGCTATGCAAATAGACTGAGATTGTTCCACTTCACAAATAGAAAGAGTTTTAACTGACATTATACAGCTTTGGCTGTCCAGAGACCCTGGCTAGAATGTGAAGAGAGATAAATTAAAAATACACAGAGGAGAGCATATGTACTGTACATCTTGAGACCAGCGATTTAACTGAAATAAAAATAGATGCGGGTGAAAAAAATAGTAATATTTTATGTGTTGAAGGATTCAGGAGAAATGGAGATTATTAAAAACAGCTAATCAAGTTTTGAAGGAAGAATTTCATATAAAGCGCATATCTGAAGTACCCAAATTAAGAGAAATTAAACAGCATGATTGATTTTAATTGCTGAGCAAATTGTAAAAAAGTGATTATAATAAGCATCTCTCATCAAATAAATGCTTAGCTTTTGCACAGCTCTTAGGCTGAGGAAATTTTCTCTTTTAATTCTTAAATATTCTAAAACTACTACAATCCTGTTCCTGTTCTTACCCAGCAAAAGAAGATAAATGGTGATATAAGGGAAATCAATAAATAGATTTCAATTTCCTTCTACTTGAACTGATCATCACTTTTTACAACAAGGAAGAACGTAAACTGCCATCAGAGGCACCACTTGACACCTATGCAAAAGATATGCCTGAGCAACTTAAAATGTAGGAGCCGCCCACTGTGGCTCTTACTGCTTTGCCTAATAGGCTGGTACCAGCAAGGACCAGTGATAGATCATAGAGAGAAAACAACTGTAAGTTTGTACTTCCCCAAAATATGCAAATTTGCAAATGCCTGACCCAGAACTGTGAACATTCAATCTTCCCATGAGCTCAAAAATCTTCACACCACTATCTTTCCACAACAAGAGAACCAGAAGTTTTCAGATACCAAAGCATTGAGTCATTTTAAGAGGGGCTTATGAACTGACATTAGATCCCTTCCTTTGTAATAATTGTGGGGTTTGTTCCCCATTTTGCCATGAATTATGACAATAAAAGTAATTCCTGCTTTAATATTGGAAATACCCATTTTTGGTCTATGCTTAGATAAATCTCATGTTGCTTCAGGATGGAATAGATTTAATTACATAAAATCAGCTAAATATGTATTTCATTTGATAACCTCAAAATAAATGTTCTACTTTTCCTTTTGTTTGCTTGAGCAAATATATAATTTTCTGTAGTGTTTGCCCTAGAATCATTGCACTTGTTTGTTGTGCACAGCAGAGGCTCTAAAGAAGTGTTCTAACAGTGGGTGAATTAATTTCTATTAGGTTGGTAATAATTTACAAATTGTATTGACTTTTAAAATTAAAAACATGATTAGCACCATGTTAAACAAACAGTAGCATTTATAAAGTCACAGAAGACTGTTCAAAGGTAGGCATGAGAAAGAATGGTAAAAGAATATTCCAAGTTTGAATTATTGCATCATCATGCCTTCATTTTGGAAGGTTTTGGTCTTTCATTTTACACAGTTATAGAAAAATAGCACAATTTAAGATTAGCTATCTGGTGACTTTAAAGGTTTTCTAAGTGAATTCAGGACTACTTTACTCACTTTATAAGATGAAAGAATGGAGGCAATAAAAATAAAAATATATATTCTCCTTTTTGTATAAGGGTTCATATCAAAACCAAAGAAAACTCAGGCAGGAGACTTTGATGCATAGTTCAAAATAAACCTTGCATAGAATAATTAAGTGTGAATCATAATAAATTATACTACACAGAACATTTGTGCCCTGTTGAAGTTCTTATAAAAGAAATACGCTCTTTCTGAATTCAACTTAGATATACAGGTTCTCTTTCAAATAATAAATTTAGTGATATTTTACAATGAGGCTTCTTTCACACACTGATACTCTGAAATATTTTATATTTCTAAACCCAAGTTATTTATCACCTCTAGCCATGGCAATTTGATATGGCAGCCCTCAGTGAATTCTTTAAACAATGTTTTGGGTTGTGAAATGGTCTCTATGAGGTCTTCTTTCACTGTAATGGCCACAGTAGTTTTTTATAAACTCTGCAACTTTACCAGTCCAGAGAGGAAACTTCAGTGTAATGATGTTCATCACTGCAGCATTTACGGATGTTCCTTTCAACCTTCATATTTTTATGTAACATCTGATGAAGATTTTTTCTCTTAACAGCTACAGGTTAGATTTTCATTGAGCATCCTGCACTGACTGTGAAAGCGTGCTGTTGAAACTTAGATTGTGCTGAGGGTTTTGCTTTTTACATTTTTACAGATGACGTAGATAATCAGGCAGGGTGCCTTTAACAGTCTGGAAATTGGTAGGGAGTCATATGTGAAAACCACTAATTTTTCCTACGAGTCTAATTTTGAAAGTTTGCAGAAAGTTTTTCTTTATATAAGAAAACTTTGCTTCATGTAGTCCTATTTTGATGAATATTCAGCAGATTTTTATGTGTACAGATTATTTTTTACTGTCATTTATATAATACAGATGATAAAAAATAGGTATTCATATAGTTTTATTAGTGCATTCAAATATTAGTTCATTTTTTTCTAGAAATAAATATTATTCTTTCCAGTTGTATCAAATTTTTCTTGCTGCTTTTGTAGTCAAAAGAATCATTAGATCCTATCTAATGAAGTAAAACTAATCTTCCACTTAGAACTGTGAGTCTATAATCATGTACTTCAAAATAGCATTTTGTCCTTCTTAATAAAAGTTATGGTTTCTTGTCTTCTTTAGCAGCTCAGCTTCTACTTGTATTCCTTTAGAATTATATGACTGGAAGCAAAAAAATGGCTTAAATTCATTAAAATTATTATTTTGTTCTGATTCCATTGTAACACTGCATTTCTAGGGTCAAAGTTTTTTATCACTAGTCCATATGTGGGCTCTCTGGAAAATTAGGCTGCATTAATGAAGACTATGAATTTAGAAATCATTGATGTTAGCTCATTTTTTTTCTCAGTTCATTGAATAACCCAAACTAAAGCTACTTTAATTCAGAAGGAATTTTAAAGTGCAGTATCCCACACAGAAATTGAATGAGGCAATCCAGTTAATGCCTACCTGCTATGAGTGCTTCTGTGACAACTCTCTCTGAAAAAAGACTGAAGCAAAACCCAGTGAAAAGGACGTGGGTACACACTTTTATGCCATGCTGCAGCCTTAGTAAATGATCCAGTCAATCACTAATGTGAATAGTCACATCCAATTCTGAAGGGTTTTCATGTTCAGGTAGCACCTAAGATATCAGAAGTTATTAGGAAGAACAAAGTAGCTGAACTAAGATGTAACATTCATGCAACAGAGACTACAGATTCTTCCTAAAAACATCCTTTATACCTGTGAGACAGAGAAAGGACGTAAGAAGCATAAAAGCCAGTCCAATCTCACAACGCATTGTCTTTCTTTCAGAATATACAAGATATCTCTGCTACCAGCAAGACCTTCCTTCAAGCTGCTGGGAATCTTTATGCATATTTGAGAAAATCCCTTGGATGGAGGGGTTGCATTCTAGTGTGCTCCTGTGTAATAAGATATAGCTTCTCCTTCTAATTCTGAGGAGTGAATCTCGGTCATGTTAAACACATTTATGCCTTATGTTAATAAGAGCCTGCTATGTTGAAACTTGTGTTATTCTTGGTCTTATATACTCCAGGTATTTGTGTGAAGAAATGGATGTCTGCATGGGCCTCTTGGCCTCTTTTTCAGTGAAGACATAAATGGACCCTTGTAGGATGTAATTAGTTTAGTCTTCCAAATAGTTGGGTAGAACTTCCTAGAAGGACTTGTTTCTCCCCTTTGTCTGTAAAGGGCATCAGTCTGAAAGAATATATGTTATCAAAGTTTAAAATATCTGGTAACTCAAGCTGATACAAAGTATCTATGCTGAGACAAAATCAAAATAACCTAAAGACTAAATATTACAGCTGGTAGAGTGATCCAGAGCAGCTATGTCTAAGTGTCTGAGATATTTCACTTGAAAACTAGGCTGATTGATCCATATACTGCATGTAATATCATACAACACTTGTTGTATGATGTATGACTTGTTGATCTATTTTGGCTAGTACTGATCTTCTGTTCAAAGTGATGTATTAAGCTCACTGAGCTAAGCCGTATAAAATAATTACGCAAGACAAAGCATCAGTTTAATTCTTTCTCAGTACTGTATGTCAGGAACATATTCTTGAATAAGGCACCAAACATTGCGTTTCTCATAGTTTCTCAGAGTTTCAGTTTAAATATGAGATAAAGCTGGGAACAGATTTGGAGAGAATTAGAGTGTTTATGAAAAGAAGATTTACTTTTCCCTTAATTTTCCCTGTTTCCTTAGCCTATTTTCACTGTGGGTGATGTTATGCTATCTAGAAGTCCAGGTTGAAAGTCTTCAGCCACAGAATCACAGAATGAGTCAGGCTGGATGGGACAACAGGGGTGCATCTGGTCCAACCTCCCTGCTCAAGTAGGGTGCCCCCAGAGCACATGATTGCCTCCAGACAGTTCTTGAATATCTCCAGTGAGGGAGACTCCACAACCTCTCTGGGTGAGGTTCAGTTCTTATAAACTGTTATTATAAAGTATTATTGATGGTTCTTAAAACAGTTCTTATAAACTGCTATAAAAACTGGTATGTTCATGTCCTTTTTTGCAAATAGACAATGACAATATTTGAGAGACGCTTATGTTCCTGTATAAAATAGATTCCCAGCAATGTTTATTTTAATGTGTCTCACTCTCATACCCCAATGTCTTTAAAACATCTTAATCACACATTAGTACAACAGTTATAGATGAAATTACTAGCCTAGCCTATGTTACATCTAATAAAAATGCATTTTTTTCATTGTTTGTAGCACGGCAGACAGCTAATATTATTAAGTGCAAACATCAAAGCAACTTGCTCTATTCTACTTAAGGAAGAAAAGTATATAAGCAGTGCCTCCTGAAAACCTTGAACAGAAGCTGTTTAAAATAAATAAAAACTAATTTAAAAATCCTAACAATATTTTTGATATAAGGATGTTTCACTTTGCAGTGAAAAGAATCAAACATTGTCAGTTAACACATTGCGATTTCTGAATGGTAGAAGAGACAGCAGCAAATGGAGAGAGGTGGTATAAACCTTTTTAGGGAATTTTGGAACAACAATGTCTAGATAAATATTACTGACCCTGGATGACATCTATTTCTAGTACAGTAAAGTTTTTTACTATGATCAAACCCAACAAAAGTTCATTCTGGAAGACTGCCCTTCAGCCTTTTGATAGCACAGACTGTATTCATAGAGATTCACAGTAATCATTCAATTTCAAATAAATCTTTTAATATAGAGAGAATTAGTTTTTCAAATGAAAATTTTTTACCAGTGAGTTCAAGAGCTGATAACTAGGCTCTTCTCCCTCTCTGTAATTTTAATTGCTTAGTGAAGGAATGTATTTATAGTAAAAAAGAGTTGAATCAAACAGCCAGAAGTTGTTTATTTGCATGACATCTGTGAGGAATTTAAAATGAAAATTAATTTAGCTCATGTTTCAGTCAATATAGTTAATTCTTTTGTATTCATATGTTGACAATGCCATATTTGAATGCAAAAGGAAGTGTACAACAACAATTTGAGTGTCCAACTTCTTTTTTGGGGTGAGATTAAACTGACATCTATAGCTATGCAAACAGGCATCTGCTTTGGGCTTCTTGAGCCTGTGAAGTCAATGGAGAGAGACTCATCCTACTTGGTGTTACTAGTGGACTGGCTGTTTCTAACTACTGTAATCACTTGGGAGTGTGCAGGACAGAGTGGTTGTATAGCTGAGATCATCTGAATCTTGTCCTCAATAACATGTAAGTCTGATGGTGAAACATTTGCACCCTGAGGGAAGATTGTCATGGTTTCACCCCAGCCAGCAGCCAAGTTCCACACAGCCGCTTGCTCATCACCCCAATAGTGGGACTGAGGAGAGAATCAGAAGGGCAAAAGCTAGAAAACTCAGGGATAAAGATGAAGACAGTTTAGTAGAGAAAGCAAAATTCACACACACAAGCAAAGAAAAACAAGGAATTAATTCCTTCCTTCTGGCTTTCCATGGGCAGGCAGGTGTTCAGCCATCTCCAGGAGAGCAGGGCCCCATCACATGTAACAGTGACTCGAGAAGACAAAACTTCATCACTCCAAACACCCCCCTTCCTCCTTCTTCCTACCCACTCCATATACTGAGCATGATGTCCTATGGTCAGGAATATCCCTTTGGTTAGTTTGGGTCCCCTGGCTTGGCTCTGTCTCTTCCCAACTTCCCATGCATCCCCAATTTCCTTGCCATCATGGCAGTACGAAAAGCAGAAAAGGCCTTGACTCTGTGTGAGCCCTGCTCAGCAATAACAAATACATCTCTGTATTATCAACCCTGTGTAGCACAAATCCAAAACACAGCCCCATACTAGCCACTGTGAAGAAAATTAGCTCTACCCCAGTAAAACCACTGCAAACATATAGGGACAATTCAGAGCATATTTGACAGCTACCAAAAGGAAAGTACAGAAATGGCTCACTTCTACCCTGTGCCTCAGGGAGCTGTAGTTACAAGTGCACCACTGTGCACTACCCTTAGATGTTATCAGAAGGTAGAAAACCCCCAAGTTTTCTGGAATCCAGCTAGAGCTCATTGATTTGCTGCTCCCTGCTTCCTTTCAGATTCCTCTAGGCTCTGAATTCCTCTGTAGAGGGTGCCTATGTGGCAGATGCTTCAACAGTGCCATTGGAACAGTTCTCAGTGGTAGATGCAGCACACAGGATGAGTCGAGCAGATGCTCGCGACAAGAAAAGCTCTTGTCTCAGCTGTGTACACAAATTGTACTGGAATACATGAAGAGAAGCCATATGTAAAAAGATCCTGCAGTTGTTCAGATGAGCAGTTTTCTCTAATAATTGCATCAATCCCAAAAACGTTTCAACTATTTGGGATTTTCACTGCCTTTCCCCCCCACACTTTTTCAATAGGTATTAAATAGACCTTGAATAAAATAGATTATCATTTCATAGAAAGAGATCAAAATCTTTCTCTAAGTACAGGACAACTCATGTCCTAGAAAACCATCTCCTGATGTCTATTAAGTAAATTTTTCTCATTTATATGTATGTTTGAAATAATTCTGAGCTTAGGCATTTAAACTTGTGTGGATGTGGAAGCAATGGTCCATCACCTTCACCCGTCTGCTGGCAATTAAGAGGTACAGATACATACTATAATTATGTCCTAAGGAATTTTATCAGAGAAAATGAATTATGTGTTTTAAGGAAATCAGAGACACAGTCTTTGTGGGGGGTTTTAAACCTTATTTGTGCCTTACATTTTCTTGCTACTAGTTCAAATGACTTATCTAATGCTAACTTTGGTTTACATTTCATTACATTATTATAATCAAAAAGAAACAAAAAATTTGAGGGGGGCTATATTAATACTTCTTGAACTGCACTGAGTCTGATTAGCCCTTAATCAATTACCCGTGTTCGAAGCTGCCTTTTTTTTTTTTTTTTCCCACGTGTTCACAGCACTGCAAAGTGAAACAGCAACAGGAGAAAAATCCCTTATTTTGGTGGTCCTGCGGAGAGAGCTGTTGTGTTTGTTGCTGTATCCTACGTTGCCACCCAGTGGAGAAGACTGTAACTTCTGGTCACAATTCCAAAAAAAGTGAGAAGCCTTGTCATAGAGTCATAGATTTTCCTGAGTTGGAAGGGACTCACAAGGATCATCAACTTCTGGTCCTATGCAGGACACTCCAAGAATCACACCCTGTGCCTGAGAATGTTGTCCAAACACTTCTTGAACTCTGGCAGGCTGGTGCTGTGACCACTTCTTATCCCTTGCACAGTAGCCCTTTATTCTGCAAGCAAATCATTGGGGGTGGTCTTTTTGGGTAAACATTGATTGCTTTTGTTGTTTTCACTTGCTCTGGTGTTTGCCCCTTCTCTCTACATATTTGCTGAGTTTATGCTAATGCTGGTGTGCTAATGCCATATAACATGGAATAACAATGCAGTTCCACTTACATTAATGTAAAAACTTAACAACGTGGCAGTGGATCAGAGCTGTGATTTTCAACAGTGCCTTATATTTTAGGAAAAAAATATATTCAATTTCAAGTTATGCCATGTGATGTTAAAATCTCTTCTAACTCAAACATCTTTTGTCCATAGCTATGTTTAAACAAGCAGCTCACAACTTTGAGGAAAGAAAAACAAACCACTCAAACTCCAAACCTTTTTTTCACTTCATATTACTGAATTTTATGACTCATTCTATACTTATTTCATCTAAGTGTTTGCATTTGCTGTACAAAGCTAATATAGGTAAGTATTGGCAGCTGCTGGTATTTAAGCAGTGTATCATAAGGAAATATTCTGAGTATTTAGCAAAAGGAGGACAGAAGAAAAGGTTGAATTAGAGTACAGAAAAAAAAAAGGAAGGGCACTGATGACTCTTAGGAAGAGAGATATGGGTGGAAGACAGTGACCAGTAGCTTCCATATCAGAAGCAATCCCTGAATAGCCATCACTTTACC